TAAAAGGTTGATAGACTTGAGGATGTGCATATCTATAGAGGGGCCACAAGTAGATCATTTTTTAGTTGTAGCTACAGTGAGAATAAAAGATAGATGGGGAAACAAAGAGAATGGTATCAGTAAGGAAGAAGTGAAGGTTTATAAACTAAAGGAGGTAGTTAGGGTAAGATATAAGCAATTATTGGTAGAAAGATGGGCTAGTGAGAGTATAGGCAATGTGGTGGAAGAGGCATGGAATAGATTTAAAAATGCAGTGTTAGTGATCAGCAAAAGTTTGTAAATATAGGAGGGTGTGAGTGGGAGGAAGAGGAGCAGTTGGTGGAATAATTAGGTAGAGAGAGTGGTAAGAGAAGTAGTTAGCATTTGAGAGGCTTTTACAAAGCAGAAGTGATATAAGGCAGGAGAAGTACATAGAGAGTAAAAGAAGTTAAGAGAGTTGTGAAGGAATATAAGGGGAGAACAAATGAGAGAGTGGGTGAGATGCTTTCAAGTTTTCCTGAGACTAAGAAAAAGTTTGAGTGAAATTAATAAAGCCTAGGTAACAAATGGATATGACAGTTAAAAATGGAATAAAGAAGTTAGTACATGTAGAGTTGGAGGTATCAGGAAGATGGAGGGAATATTTTGAAGAACTGTTAAGTGTTGATGAAGATAGGGAAACTGATTTTGTGCATTGGACGGGGAAGTATAACAACTTGTAGGAGTGAGGAAGAGCCAGATGTGAGTGTGGGGGAGGTGTGTGAGGCAGTGGGTAAAATAAAAGGGGGTAAAGCAGCTGGGATTGATGGGCTCAAAACTGAAATATTAAAGCAGGTGGACATATAGTTTTGGAATGGTTGGTGCTTTTGTTTAATGTTTGGAAGAAGGGAAGGTACCTTGGGATTGGCAGAGAGCATGCATAGTCCCTTTGTATAAAGGCAAAGGGGACAAAAGAGAATGTAAGAATTATAGGGTAATAAACCTCTTGAGTACACCTGGTAAAGTGTATGACAAAGTTTTTATTGAAAGAATTAAGAGTAAGATGGAGAGCAGGATAGATGAACAAGGAGGGTTTAGGAAGGCTAGGGGATGTGTAGACCTAGTGATTACAGTGAAATATAAAGGTGAGTAATATTTAGATGAGGATAAAGAGGTTTTTGTGACATTTAGGGATTCGGAAAAGGCATGTAATAGCGTGGATAGGGGGACAATGTGGTAGATGTTGTAAATGTATGGAATAGAGGGTAGATTACTGAAAGCAGTGAAGAGTATTTACAAGGATAGTGAGGCTCAGGTTAGAGTATGTAGGAGAGAGAGGGAGATTATTTCCCAGTAAAAATAGACCTTTGACAAGGATGTGTGATGTCACCATGGTTATTGTAACCCTTTGACTGTCACAACCCCAAATCCCGAGGTGTCTCCTGGTGTTGCAAAATATTTGAAAAAAAAAAAAAAAAATTCTTATGAAATGATAGAGAATCTTTTCCCATTTGTAATGACACCAAAAGTACAAAATATGATGGAAAACTTATGGAATTATGCTCTCACTAAGTTAAAGAACTCCGATATTTACGAATCGGTGATTTCACCCACTTTGAGCCCTATTTTTGGCTAATTCCATTGTTCCAGTTGACCAAACTCGACTATTTCTTTAGAACTCCGTTTGTTCTATCGATTGAGTACAAGAAACTGCCCATTTACCAATTTCAGCTACCCAATAAAGTGGTCAGAAATTGGCAATTTGGCCAATTTCACAAAAATATGCCAATTTCAAAATAGGGTCCAGACCAAACAATGCAGACATTCCTGGCTCTAAAATAACATTTTCTTTGTTCATCAGTCACGTCTCCAGGCCCTCTGATATTACTCTTTCTATTTTGAATTTTTATTCAAACAAAAAATAGAAGATTTACTGTTATGCAGACTACTGCAATATTGTAATAATAGTATAAATAATGTCAACCCATTCATGACTGCATATTAGAATGGCTACTTAGACATTTATTGGACAATGGCGTCATTTGTTTACTCTTGAACATCGGCAAAAATCAAACATTTCCCCTACTTTGAGCTCCTTTTCAAGGTCCTTTTCATAGTAAAACCAATCAAAATCACCTCCATTTCTATAATATGTTTTCCATTCTATCAAATGTGACTATGAAAACGAGAATATAACCATAAGAACTATATGAAAATACACCTCAAAGTCGGCGTTTTAATCCAAAAACACGTTCAGTTTTTTTTTCTCATTATGCACTGCGTGCTGCAGGATTTTTTTTATACTGCTCACACTAACTACACAGACCCATTCTCTCACATGTGGGCCTACCAGCTTTCTCCAGCTTGATTTGAAGCCGCTAGAATTTTTGAGTATACATACTTCAAACACATTGGCGTGTAAGACGTATATATGCGACTGAAACAGTCAAAGGGTTAATATATAGATGGGGTTGTAAGAGAAGTGAATGCTCAGGTATTGTCAAGATGTGTGGAATTAAATGATAAAGTATCTAACAGAGTGGGAGTTGTCGCAGTTGGTTTTGCTGATGACTATGCTTTTGGGAGATTCTGAAGAGAAGTTGCAGAGGTTGGTGGATGAATTTGGTAGGGTATGTAAAAGAAGGAAATTAAAAGTGACCATAGGAAAGAGCAATGTGATGAGCATAACAAAAAATTTTGATAATGAAAGATTGGATATCAAATTAGAGGGAGTATGGAGGAAGTGATATTTGGGAGTGGGCTTGGCAGCAGATGGGTCTATGAAAGCTGAGGTGAATCATAGCATTGATGAGGGGGAAAGTGGAGGTGAATGGAGCACTGAGTAGTCTGTGAAGACAATGTTATCCATGGAGGCAAAGAGGGGAATGTATGAGAGCATAGTGGTAGCAATGCTCTTATATGGGTGTGAAGCATGGGTGGTGAATGTTTCAACAAGGAGATGGTTGCAGGCAGTGAAGATGCTGTGTCTGAAGGCAATGTGTGGTGTGAATATTATTCAGAGAATCCATAGCTTGGAGATTAGGAGGAGGTGTGGGGGTTACTAAAAGTATTTTCCCGATTGCTGAGGAGAGGTTGTTGACGTGTTTCAAACATTTATAGAGGATGGAATAAAATAGAATGACTTGGAGAGCGTATAAATCTGTTGTGAAAGGAAAGAGGAGGAGGGGTCATTTTAGAGATGTTGGAGGGAGAGGGTAAAGGATGTTTTGTGTGATTAGACATCCATCAGGTGTGTGTGAGCATGTTAGATAGGAGTGGAGGCAAGGGTTCTTTTTATGACTTGATGTGCTGTTCGAGTGTTAGCAAAGTAGCATTTAACCCCTTCAGGGTCAACAGGCCCTCTCCCAGACTTGTTCTCAGTGTCGACAAATTTAAAAAAAAAAAACAAAATTCTTATGAAAAGATGGAGAATCTTTTTCCCATCATAATGACACCAAAAGTATGAAATTTGATGCCAAACTTAGGGAATTATGCTCTCGTGAAGTTAGCGGTCTCTACGATGTTTACGTATCAGCAATTTTGCCCACTTTGAGTCCTATTTTCGGCCAATTCCAGTGCACTAGTCGACAAAAATCATATCTATTTTGCTAGAACTTCATTTTTTCTGTTGAACGAGTACAAGAAACCACCCATTTACTGATTTCAACTATCCAATAAAGTGAATTTAGCAATTTTGCCAATTTCATACAAATTTCAAAAGATACCAATTTCCAAATAGGGTCCAGAATAAACAAGAAAGACATTCCTGGCACTAAAATAACATTTCCTCTGTTCATTAGTCACATCTCCAGGCCCCTCTTACATTCTTTTGCTTTCCACTTTTGAATTTTTATTCTCACAAAAAATAGAAGATTTACTGTTATGCAGACTACTGCATTAGTGTAGAAAGGTATAAATAATATCAGCGCACTTGTGAAAGAATATTCGACTCGCCAGTTGACATGTATTGGACGCGTAGCATGAGTTGTTTACTTTTGAACTTTGGCAAAAATCGAACATTTCTGCTACTTTGAGCTCAATTTCAAGGTACTTTTCATTGTAAAACCAATCAAATATCTCAATTTCTGTAAATATGTCTTCCATTCTATAAAATGAGACCAGGAAAACTAGAATACCATCATAAATACCATACAAAAATACAGTGCAAAGTCGTTGTTTTAAACCAAAAACACTCAGTTTTTTTCTCATTACGCACTGTGTGCTGCAGGATTTTTTTTTATACTGCACACACTGACCACATAGACCCATTCTTTCATATGTAGGCCTACCAGCTTTCTCTCACTAGATTTGAGGGCGCTAGAATTTAGGTGTACTAGTACGTCAAAAACCCTGATGCGTAAGCCGTACTAGTACGTCGGAAACCCTGAAAGGGTTAAGAAGGGATTCAAGGATACCAATTAGCCAAACTCAAGTCTTGGAGGTGGGACATACAGTGCCTCCACTCTGAACGAGGAGTGGAGGTGGGAAGCACGGTACCTGCACTCTGAAGGAGGGGTGAAGAGGAGAAGTACAGTATGTGCTTTGAAGGAGGGATGGAGGTGGGAAGTATGGTACCTGCACTCTGAAGGAGGGGGTTAAGGTGGGAAGTACAATATCTGTGCTCTGAAGCAGGGGTGGAGGTGGGAAGTATGGTACCTGCACTCTGAAGGACGGGGTGACAGTGGGAAGTGCAATATCTGTGCTCTGAAGGAGGGGTGGAGGTGGGAAGTGCAATATCTGTGCTCTGAAGGAGGGGTGGAGGTGGGAAGTACGGTACCTGTGCTCTGAGGGAGGGGTGACGGTGGGAAGTACAATATCTGTGCTCTGAAGGAGGAGTGGAGGTGGGAAGTACAGTGCATGCATTCTGAAGGAGGGATGGGGATATTTGCAGTTTTAAACTAGTATCAGTTTGCCTCTGGCAAGGCAGTGATGGAGTGAGTGATAGTGAAAGTGTTTCTTCTTTTGTGGGTCACCTGCCTCATTGGGGAATGGCGAGTTGAAAAAAAATGTATTATCGGCACTAATTGTGTGTGTAATTTCAGCGTAAGCGGCACTTCTGGCGTCTGGATACTAAAACAATTACTCTCTATCAAAATGAATCCAGCACCAAGTACTATAAGGAGATTCAACTTTCTGAGATTCTTAACATAGAAACTGCCAAGCAACCTCAACCCACTGGTTAGTATTTGTCCCTCAGCCCACTGTTAGTATTTGTGTTCCTCAGCTCACTGTTAGTATTTGTGTTCCTCAATCCAGTGTTAGTATTTGTTTTCCTCAACTGACTGTTAGTATTTGTCTTCCTCAGCATGTATATCTAGTATTGATTCTAGGGTGTTGTAGTGCTGGATCTTGCTGCCTATAAACATGCAGGATGGCAGGCAAGTGTTAGTGATTGCTGTGTACACTCAGTACAGTAAACCCTCCAGATAATACTTTTAAAATTAGCCAAAATCCACTGGATAAACTGTGCTTTTAACCTCATTATTAATGTTTATGGTAATATATCTGTAAATACTGTTGTCAGTACAATATTATGTGTACAGTAGAGTGTATTACACCCTCTCCTCACTTAGCAACGTACAGCCTCTCCTCAGTGATGTTCAGCCTCTCCTCACTTAGCGACATACAGCCTCTCCTCAGTGATGTTCAGCCTCTCCTCACTTAGCAACGTACAGCCTCTCCTCAGTGATGTTCAGCCTCTCCTCACTTAGCGACATACAGCCTCTCCTCACTTAGTGACATACAGCCTCTCCTCACTTAGTGACATACAGCCTCTCCTCACTTAGTGACATACAGCCTCTCCTCACTTAGCGATGTACAGCCTGTCCTCACTTAGCGACGTACTCATTTACCAAGACTTGGACTTATGACAGGGTCTCTGACCAGTATACATACCTAAATAATGTATGTTAGAGCTGATTTCCTCTATTCTGTTTGTTACAATATACAGTACACTACTGTATAAAAGTTTAAAAATATACTAAAAATGTTATAAATGATGCAAAGGTGACATTAAAACAATATCAAATATGGTTGATACCAACCCACTACCATTATAGTATGCTCCTTGCTCAGCAATGAATTCATTTACTAACATGTTAGAAACAGAACTCCGTCGTTAAGTGAGGAGAGCCTGTACTGTTTTGTTGCTAGGTATCAACATTCTAACATAAGACACTTGGACAACCCCCCTATTAGTCAGTTATACAGAGAGTTTACTTTATTATACTTTATATTATGAATTGTTCTTATCCCTGTAATAATATTTCCTCGCCAATTTAAAAGCTTACAGTGGAACCTCCACTCACGAGTTTAATCTGTTTCGTGACTTTGCTCACACCTGGATTTGTTTGTTAGCAGAGTCAATTTTCCTCGTTTAAATTAATTGAAATGCAATTAATCCATTCCAGTGGAATTCTGTACTTCAGTAATTTCACTAATATCAACTCTACAGCTTATTTATCTATCAAAATTCATCTAATATGACATAATAAACAATATAAATAACATAGAAACCTGATACAGTGGATCCTTGGTTTTCGTGTTTAATCCGTTCCAGAGCCATCAGCCAAAACCGAAGCCATTTTCCCCATAAGAAATGATGTAAATGGAATTAATCTGTTCCAAACGCCCGGAAGTATCAAAAAAAATTTTTTTTACGTTAACCCTTAACCCATAAACAGTCCAAACATATACATACATGTATATACATTTTTTCAACATTTGATAGTATGTAAAAAGAAGTAGATCTTTTTTTTTTTTTTTTTTTTTTTTTTTTTTTTTTTTTTTTTTTTACATATGAAAACTTGTAAAAAATACTTTCATCTACATTTTTTTTTTGTTATATATTTTGTTATATATATTGTTATATATGTTTAAGGGCAATGTGTGGTGTAAATATTATGCAGAAAATTCGGAGTGTGGAAATTAGGAAAAGGTGTGGAGTTAATAAAAGTATTAGTCAGAGGGCAGAAGAGGGGTTGTTGAGGTGGTTTGGTCATTTAGAGAGAATGGATCAAAGTAGAATGGCATGGAAAGCATATAAATCTATAGGGGAAGGAAGGCGGGGTAGGGGTCGTCCTCGAAAGGGTTGGAGAGAGGGGGTAAAGGAGGTTTTGTGGGCAAGGGGCTTGGATTTCCAGCAAGCGTGCGTGAGCGTGTTAGATAGGAGTGAATGGAGACGAATGATGCTTGGGACCTGACGATCTGTTGGAGTGTGAGCAGGGTAATATTTAGTGAAGGGATTCAGGGAAACCGGTTATTTTCATATAGTCGGACTTGAGTCCTGGAAATGGGAAGTACAATGCCTGCACTTTAAAGGAGGGGTTTGGGATATTGGCAGTTTGGAGGGATATGTTGTGTATCTTTATATGTGTATGCTTCTAAACTGTTGTGTTCTGAGCACCTCTGCAAAAACAGTGATAATGTGTGAGTGTGGTGAAAGTGTTGAATGATGAAAGTATTTTCTTTTTGGGGATTTTCTTTCTTTTTTGGGTCACCCTGCCTCGGTGGGAGACGGCCGACTTGTTGAAAAAAAAAAAAAAAATGAAGAGCAGAATGTAAGTGTGGGGGAGGTACGTGAGGCATTACGTAGAATGAAAGGGGGTAAAGCAGCTGGAACTGACGGGATCATGACAGAAATGTTAAAAGCAGGGGTGGATATAGTGTTAGAATGGTTGGTACTTTTGTTTAATAAATGTATGAAAGAGGGGAAGGTACCTAGGGATTGGCGGAGAGCATGTATAGTCCCTTTATATAAAGGGAAAGGGGACAAAAGAGATTGTAAAAATTATAGAGGAATAAGTTTACTGAGTATACCAGGAAAAGTGTACAGTAGGGTTGTAATTGAAAGAATTAGAGGAAAGACAGAATGTAGGATGGCGGATGAGCAAGGAGGTTTCAGAGTGGGTAGGGGATGTGTAGATCAAGTGTTTACATTGAAGCATATATGTGAACAGTATTTAGATAAAGGTAGGGAAGTTTTTATTGCATTTATGGATTTAGAAAAGGCATATGATAGAGTGGATAGAGGAGCAATGTGGCAGATGTTGCAAGTATATGGAATAGGTGGTAAGTTACTAAATTTATTTATTTATTTAATAATTTGAACATGCATACAGAGGTACAAAAAAATACAGGTAAGAGTAGCATGCCAAAGCCACTTGTATGCATAGCATTACGGGCTGGCTTAAAATTAACTTAAGATTAACTAAGCAATGATGTAGTCAGTGGTAAAACATTATTGTAAACAGATAACAATAAAGCACAAATGAGTATTACAAAGACAGGTCATATGGTTGCATGCATTGCTGTACATTCAGTAGAATGGAGTATTCTGTTAGGTAGTGTATTTAAAAAAATAACAGTTAGATTGGGTCATAGGTTTAACATTTATGTGATATAATTGTGAGAAACATTTAAGATATACAGTGGACCCCCGGTTAACGATATTTTTTCACTCCATAAGTATGTTCAGGTGCCAGTACTGACCGAATTTATTCCCATAAGGAATATTGTGAAGTAGATTAGTCCATTTCAGACCCCCAAACATACACGTACAAACGCACTTACATAAATACACTTACATAATTGGTCGCATTCGGAGGTAATCGTTATGCGGGGGTCCACTGTACAATTTATAAGGTTCAGTTATTCAGTATTTATTTGGTTTTGGGTGAGTAAGTGATCTTTGAGAAGAGACTTGAATTTATAAACAGGTAGTGTTTCTTTTATATTTACAGGTAATGAATTCCAGATTTTAGGGCCTTTTATGTGCATTGAGTTTTTGCATAGTGTGAGATGGACACGAGGGACATCAAAGAGTGATCTGTGCCTTGTGTTATGGTCATGTGTTCTGTTGAGGTTGGCAAGGAGTTATTTGAGGGGAGGGTTAATATCAGAGTTAAGTGTTCTATGTATGTAATAGGTGCAGTAACAAGTATGGATGTTTTGTATGGTGAGTAAGTTTAGTGTTTTGAATATTGGTGGAGTGTGCTGCCAGTAGTAGGAATTTGTTATCATTCTGACTGCAGCCTTTTGTTGGGTAATTAGTGGTCTGAGATGGTTAATTGTTGTTGAGCCCCATGCACAAATTCCATAGGTGAGATAGGGGTAAATAAGAGAGTGATATAGGGCCAGGAGGGCTGACTGTGGAACATAGTACCGTATCTTCGATAGTATGCCTACGGTCTTGGAAATTTTCTTAGAAATTTGTTGTATATGTGTATGAAATTTGAGTCTATTATCAAGGTGGATTCCTAAGAATTTTCCCTCTGTTAGCTTTGTGATAGGTGATCCGTTTATCATTATGTTAAGAGGGACATCTGTAGCTCTGTTACCAAACTGAATGAAGTAGGTTTTGTCAATGTTTAGTGTAAGTTTATTAGTCCTCATCCAGGTAGATATTTTCTGTAATTCGGTATTTACAGTATTGGCTATGTTACAAAACTCGTCTTCTTAACCTTCTCCAATGGTATGGTAGAGTGTTAAGGTAGCATTCTTGTTGAACATATGGCCTGTTTACGGTTTTGCAACAATAACTTAAGAATTCAGGATTATGAAACAAATAACTAAAACTTAAGATCTTTACTAGTAGAGTTTTAGCTTAATGTATGATTATAATGTTAGGATTAATATAAAATAAAGAGTTTAACTCTTAAATTTCTCTTGGTATGTACCAGTACATTGATATGAATAAATGAACCTCTTGAGGTCGAGCTTTGTACTAAGTTCATGAATAATATGCACCTATAATGGTTATTAAGACTTAACCACAAAGTAACTTATAATGGTTATAAAGACTTATCTGAACTATCAATTCAGAGTATACAAGAACTCGTAAGTGATGGACTTAGTCTCATTTCCATCCAACATGACTAAGAATAGCTTAGACCACAAATTAACATAAAGGCCGACAAGGCTTATTCAGTCACCTGAAAGATTAATTCACCCGAGCATAAAAGTGACAAGCTTAAGAAAGGAAGTCAGTCATGAAAGAAAAACGACCACCACAGAAAACTTGACATGTCTCTTATGAGAGGTCAATGATTAACCGAGCGTGATATGCTCCCTTGACTATGCAAGCCCGGACTAGAAGTGAGAGTGCTAGTCAGAGTGAGTGTGAAGGACCTGCTCTCAGCAAGTGCTGTAAAGCTACTCTGAGTAGTGAATCTACTCAGAGCAAGGGCGGTGAACCTACTCAGT